TATTGTAAACATGTTTTTAATTAATGAACTACTTACTTAAATATATTTATTTATATTTTTTTATTTACAAAAAAATACAGCAATATAATGAAGACAATGGTAGCTAAACACCCATAACAATCAATCAACAAACCCATAAAGGTAAGAGTAAAACAAAGAGTACCATTTAAAAAAAAAAATTAGCACGTTATACAAAATTTAAATAAACCATTAAATAAAATTGCATATTTTTTAATTTCTTGATAGTTTCCTTACATGTATTTTACAAATTAATTATTGCTTAAATAAAAGATTAAATTTCTGTATATTAAGCCATCTTTATGCATTTTGCATTTTCATTAGTCAAGTAAGTATTTTTGTTAATTTCTGACAATGTTAAATAATGAAATTTAATTTTCTTGAACAACTTACTTACCCAACAGAAATAAAAAAGACAGATTATCACAGATTAGTTTTTAAAGAAATGCTATATGGAAAAGAATGTAGTTGATGAATTCATAAAATAAATAGAACAACATATAAATTGAATAGTTAATTATAAAAGAAACAAAGAAATATAGTAATTAATTTTTGTTAAAAATTATTTGTTATGACATTCAGAAACTAATAAGATTCAACAACTTAAAAGTACTACCAAATTTCCAGAACAGAAACTCAATGAGTTATAAAATTATTGCATCAAGATTTCAACTGTTCCTATGATAAAAGCAGTATAGTCGTACCACATACTTCAAATGACTAACTTCAAACGTTCCAGAGTTTGAACACTAAATTCGACAAAACAAACTTGCCTCAGATCTATAATGACACTTCAGAGTTTGAACTGTGCATGCACTAAAAAAATGCACTGAAACTGTAAAGGCAAGTCATCTCTCATTCTTGCATTATGTGAGATCTGAAAGGCCCCTGGGTCTAAAATAGTAATTTTATTAATAATGTTAAATATTGTCACCAAATATTATTTCATTTTTGTGAGAAAATGAACGTTTTCCAACGTGGGAAAAGGCAGATAACAGATGTTACTTCCTTTGAGGGAAGTTCGTACATCCTCTGTTTTTCCCTTATCCGCTAAAAATCTCGCTCAGATTTGAACTATCTACCCCTGTTTGATTCCCCTTTCATCCGTTCACATGAAAGAGTTTCTGGCAGATGATTGGTCGTAAATCATGACATATAGAGGAAATTTGTCATAATTCGGGAAGTTCATCGACAGACCTGGAAGTGTCCGGATTCCACATGGTTTCCTCCTGATGACCAACGCCCTTAGACGAGTCACATAGAATAATTCCAGAGTTAGCACTTAGAAACTTACTTTGATTTTGTGCACATATTGATCTCCCATGGAATGAAGTAAATGAACTTTATCTCCAAAGTGTCCCTTGCCTACAGAGAAAAATATAGACAACGATCAGGTTGTATGTTTGTAAATGATTTTGTGAGCTCTCTCTCTCAATTGTGTATCGGTTAGATATAAGTCCCTTTCTCGCACGACTTATAGACTATAATTAGTAGTAGTAGTCTCATTACCATATATTGTATTCCATTATTTGTTTANAACCATTCCCAGCATAACTGCCTTCTCAAGGGAGCTGGTTCTCATTATATGACCAAAAAAGGACGATTTCTGTTTGGTTATCTGGGCTTCCAATGAGATTTTCGGTTGGACTCTGTCTAAAACAGTTTTGTTGGTGATCAGCACTGTCCATGGAATGTGCAAAAGCCATCTCCAACACCACAGTTCAAAAGCATCTATCTTCCTTCTGTCCACTTTCTTTAGATTCCAAGTTTCGTAACCATATGTGACCATAGGAAAAGTAATTGCACTAACTAATCTGCATTTATTTTGGAGGCAGATGTCTTTATTCTTCCAACAGTTGTTCACACTGATCATCAAGGTTCACCAAAGGCTATGTGTCTTCTGATTTCAGGACTGCAATCATCAATATGGTTGATTTTGGACATGAGGATTATGAAATCTTCCACTACCTCAATTTCTTCACCATTGATCACTATTTTGACTTCCGTATTCCGTGCAGTAGTCATTATTTTGGTTTTCTTGAAGTTAAGAAGCAGCCCTACCTTTGCACTTTTGTGCTTTACTCTCAGAAGCAGCTGCTCTAGATCTTCCTGACTTTCCATGAGCAGTGTGATATCATCCACATATCGGAAATTATTGATGTTCCTGCCTCCAACTTTCATTCCAATAGATTTTCAAATCCAATAGACTCATTGATATCTGCTTCCCTCATTACCACCTCTGCATACAGATTGAATAGTGTTGGTAAAAGGATACACCCCTGGCAGATACCTCTTATGATCTTGAACCAGTCTGTATCACCGTATGGCATTCTTACAGTGGCTTCTTGTCCAGTGTATAACAATTATATGAGCTGGGTGAGATGCAGTGAGATTCTCATTTCCTTGAGGCATTTCCACAACTTGTCAAGATCAATACAATCAAAAGCCTTTGAGTAATCAATGAAGCACATGTATAGATCTTTTTGGTATTCCCTCACTGTTTCCATCATCCAATGAAGATTAGCAATATGATCACGTGTTCCTCTTCCTTTTCGGAAACCTGCCTTTCCATCTGACATCTCTCTGTCTATGGTTGAGTACATATGCTGTTGAATGATCTTCAGCAGAATCTTACTAGTGTGTGAAATCAGAGCGATGATCTGACAGTTGGAGCAATCTTTGATATCGACCTTCTTTGGTATGGGAATAAAACTAGATCTTTTCCAATCCTTTGGCCATTGGCCATTCTTCCACACACTTTGGCACAGTGCTGTCAAAACTTTTAATGATAAAGATTTCAGTAACTCTGCTGGTATTCCATCAACTCCTGGGGCCTTGTGGCTAGCCAGCTGTTTGAGTGCCCACGCCATCTCTTCTTCTAAGATGTCTAGCTCCAACTCTGTCAGTTCTTCCTCTTCAATACCTTGGGTATCAGCTTCTGTTTCACTGGCGTAAAGTTGTTCTGTATATTCCTTCCATCTTTCTTTGATCGCTTCTTGATCATGTAATTCGTGACCACCTTGGCCATTGACCGCTGCCTTGCATGCAATAAATCGTGTTCAGGCTTTCTTCACATAAGCGAAGCATTGTCTAATGAAGCCTTTCTGAGCTGGTGCTTCCATTTTCTTGCACTGTTCTTCCCAGAATTTTCCATTATCTTTCTTGGCTTCTTTTTGGAACTTTGCATTTAATCTTCATATTTCCTCTCGGTTACCAATGATTTTTGCCTTTCTTTGCTGTTCTGCTATTTCTATCATAGTTTCTGATATCCATTTTGCCAATTTTGCCATCTTCTTGCATGGAATGAGCTGATACACTACATTGATATGTACTTTTATATCTTTCCATAGTTATTCTGGTTTCTTTCTACAAAATTGAGCAAGTCAAATATATTCTTTATTTCTATATCATAGACAGATGGGATCATTTCAACATCAAATTTTGGCATTGCTGATGGTCACTTGACATTACAAAACCTTATTTTCACTTTGGCAATGAGCAGTTCGTGATTCGTTCCACAATCGGCACTAGGATACATTTTTACAGCCAAAATGAAACTCTTCCACTTTTGCTGGCACAGGAAGTAGTCAATCTGGTTACAATATTCTCTATTGGGAGAAGTCCATGTATACAATCGCCACCTTGACTGTTCAAACCACATATTCATCACAGTCATCTGCTGTTCTTGGCAGAACTGAATCAGTTGTTCACCTGACTCATATCATTTTCCAACACCAAATTTTCCTACAATGCATGATTCTTCCATTTCACCTACTTTTGTGTTGAAATCTCCAATGACATAGACATCTTTTCTTGGTGTCTGACACAGTGTTTCTTGGAATTCATTGTAGAAAGCCTCAGTTACTTCTTCTTCTGAATCAGCAGTGAGTGCATAAACCTGCAGGATTGTAAAATTGCAAGGTTTCCTTTTAATATGGCTTGCTATGATTCTGTCGTCAATTGTTCGAAAGCTTTCTATGGCGAAACTTATCTTCCTTGTGCAGAATGAAACCTACCCGTCTTTGCTGTATAGTATAATTTCCAAAGTAGTAGATGATGTAATCATGAGAATTAAAAAAATCCGCTTCCAGTCCAGTGAACATCACTGATGCCTAGAAGATCAATCTTCAATCGATTCCTTTCATTTTTGATGATGTTCAACTTTCCTACATGTAACCCATTCACGTTCCAAGTTCCACTGTCTACTAAACTTTTAAATCAAGTGCTTAGTTTGCAAGTGATAATTTGTATGGACACATCCTAATAACTTCAGACAAATCTGAAAACTTATAACATAGTTCTTCACTTCAGTTTGAGAATTTAGTAAGCCAGTGTTAGATTGAATCAATACATTCAAAAAAATAAAGTAATGCTAAATCTAAAGCTACCAATTCAAAATCTTCAATTAGACACCCACAATCGCAGTAAATAGCTGGTCTATATTTTAAAAATAATAATTATGAATTACAAATAAATTTGGCACTATAGGGAGGCGTTTAGGCACCATCTTACGTTAAAATTAACAATTATAATATTTAATTAATTTAGAGTAAACTGGAAGAAAAGAATCAGCCCAAAGCAGGACTCGAACCCACAACTCTAATATGAGATAGTGCCTAAAGCCTCCCCCTCTAGTGCCAAATTTATTTGTAATTCATAATTATTATTTCCAAAATATAGCCCGATTATTTAAGGCAATTGTGGGTCTATTTGCTATACATCAGGTTTCAGTTGATGTTTATATTTGAAATGTTGTTAGTAAATATGGCCAAAAAAATCAGAATATGAATTTTGCATATTTTATATCCTAAAAGTCATAAAAGTTTCATTTTTGACAAATATTGCTATTAGCTATTTAAAAATATGTTAAGAATAATATGAAAGAATTAAAAGTATTCACAAATTATTTATATATAAAACTATTTCTAAAAAATACATTTTATGAAATATAATTTTTAACATTTTATTAGTAAATTACTTACTTGAGAAATGTCACATTCTTTTTCAAAAACTGTATTTTCCGATGTTTCTGACTGTGAAAAGATATTAATACAAATAAACTTATTATAATTTCTGTTTAAAAAAATACTCTTAACATTATTATTACAAACAGAGTTTAAAATAAATTTCATTAATTTATTTATTTCATATGTCAAACTCTTACTTCTATATATACATACATGCATGCATGCATGCATGCATGAAAGACATCGGCCGTACACAAGGTGTTTCGCCAGCAGAAAAGAGGGTAAGGGAAAGGGGAGAGGAAGAAGGAGTTTGTTGTTGGCATGCAGTTTTTAGGCTGCAAGGCCGTAGTATCCCTGAAGGAATGTAAAAGAAAACCTGAGTGTAGCAAACACGAATAATTGAGTGCTGCCACGAATAGCTACGTGTAGAAGTTAGTGCCAAGTGGCTGTTAGTAGGAAGACTTATATTTACTTAATACTAATAAAACTGAATGTGAGTGTGAATCTCAATACTATTAACAGATAGACAGACAGTGTGAAACAAATGAACAAAACAACAAACTAGACAAGATGAATGGAACAACAGAAGACAAACGAGCAAGAAGACCCCAATTTCTTTTTTAGCCTCTTACTTCTATGCAAAATAATTAAGTAAAGCGTAATTATGCTTATGTATAATTTGTATAAAGCTTATAAGTAAACACAAAATTGCTATGGAGAACTTGTGCTTAATTCCACAGAACATACAACCAAGTATTTACAAGTAAAATTAGCAATTGACCACTTCAACCTTTAAAGTGGTTATAACTTTAAAATTTCAAATGATAATCTGTATCTTTTGAAACATTTGATTCAGCATTAAAGCTTATTTAAAACAATGCTATGATTAGGTTTGAAACTGAACATCCAATTCAAAAATTGTTTCAGAAACAAGCATCGCTAAACCTGATATATAACATAACTAAACACCAACGATATGCCGAAAATCTATCGGGCTAGTATTAGGCTAATTACTAAATGAATTACATAATCAATTTGGCACTAGAGGTAGGCGTTAGGCGCCATCTCTTATTAATATTAATAATTATAAATAAATTATTTAATTTAAATAATTTATTTATAATTATTAATATTAATAAGAGATGGCGCCTAACGCTTACCTCTAGTGCCAAATTAATTACGTAATTTATTTAGTAATTAGCNCAAGAGCATATATACGGAAAAGAGAGAGCAATACTCCGCACATTCCGGATGTTCACCTTGACGGAAACAGTAAAAGAAAAATAGTAGAGTACAACCACCATCTGGCCAATATATACAGAGAAATCTCTTCCCGCACTAATAATAAAGTAACGTACAGTAGGCCAAGATCTATTTATAGCTTACTACGCAATGGGAAGGATACGCTAGACTTGGAATGTGCACCGGGAGTATATTCTATACCCATTTGGGATGGCAGATTTAATAATAAGTTGGTATATGTGGGATCAACCAAACGCTCCCTTCGCAAACGTCTCCAGGAACATAAATATGATATAGATAAGAATAAACACACCACCACCCTTTCAACCGTGGCCACAGAACCTGGAATAAGGGTGGATCTACAGAATGCTCGTATGGTAAGACTATCACAACGTACGGACCAACTAAGAATTATGGAGACCTTAGAGATTTATAAAGCAGGATTAAACAACACATGTATTAACTCCAAAGACGCAGTTAATATCTCTAAAGCATGAAAATTTTGCTATGAAGAAACACCCCACACATAATTGAGTGTAGTGTCGTTTATTACAAGCGCAATTTACGCAAGATTTAACGTCATCGAGGAAAGAACGTGGTGTTCTTTTTTTTTTATATGAACGTTGACATTCTAGGATTTGAATCGCATTTAATCCATTCCTGTTCGATTTTGCAAAGTTTGAATTTATAAAAACGGTAGCCTGAAGAAGACCCAGGTAGGGTCGAAAACGTTTGCCAAAAAGAGTAATACTGGGGAGTTAAAGGTTTATATTCAAGTAGAGAGAATTATATTTCCTCCTGTGGTAGATAGGAAGTTCATTTGACACTCTTATGTTTTCAGTGCTTTTCTTAATTTGTTTTTTATATGTTTGGTTGTATATATATTGTTTTTTTGTTGATTCTTAACAATTTCTCCCTGCAATTTTTCTTTCTCAACATCTTTTGAATGCCCTGCCCCCTACATTGTCTATCCATTAGTTCAAAATTTCCCAAATGAAAATTTTTTAACCAAATTTGCATATTCAAAGCTTAGAAGCATCTTCCCCATACATATTATGAACCTTTTTAACTGTTTATATGGCATTATATCCTTTCCAAAATTTATAAAGAGTAGCATGATAAATATGCTCTCTATCTGAAGACATTTTGACTCAATTTTATTCAAACAAAATATGAAGTAAAAAGTTTAAAATAAGCTTCTAAACAAAGAATACAATCTCTCATTAGCAATAATGTGTTAAATTTCATGACTGTTACAAGTAAATCACACAACTATGTTTAAGTAATGACAGCTGTTAAAAATAAACAAAACTTTCTGTTCAACTCAATATAACTTTTACTCACTGAGCTGCAATTTAGAAAACTTTTAGACCTATAAATTTCTATTGTCATTCATCCGTCTGTCTGTCTTTCCTTAATCTCAAGAACAGAGTTAGACAGCTGAAAGACGAGATCAGATATGGAAACCTTAGGTGCAGAAGAGTTGATTAACTATATGTGAACTTCCGGTTTGCATTGGAAGTCATGTTGTTTCAATTCAAAAATTTTCCCCCAAAAGATGTTACATAGATGGCATGACTGTATTGTTAAAGGAAAAGTATGATGTATGTGAGCAAGCCACTACTAATTTGAGGTGGAGAGCATTTATTTTAAATTAAATCAATTAAAAATATGATAAAAAATTGCAGCTTGACACTGTGACATGTCACAATAAATAATTGTTCATTAAATGTGGATCCAAAATGGGTGTGGAAGCAACAAAGTAAGATTGTAGTATCAACAATTAAAATTAAGAAGGAACTTATTGTGTAACATAAAAGTGGTACACTTGTGGCAGCCATGTTTAACATGCCAAAGTTGGCAGTCTGCAATCACTAAATGCAATTTTCATTTTATTATATATTATTTACATGTTTTATTTATTATTTTCAAGTTTTAATTTATTATTAGAGCATATAATTGTCTTCTTTTTGCATTAAATAATGTGTATTCGCAGTTTTAAGTTTATCAACATGAATATTGTTTGGGGTTGAGGAATGAATTAATTTGCTTTCCATTAAAACTAAATCAGAGCTGTCTTGCAAATATAAACAAATTTACATAAAAATAACCTTGAAGACAGCAAGATTTCACTTTCCATTATTTCTTATGGAAAATATTACTTTGGTTTTTGAACAATTTGGAATTCAGATGATCTGGAACAAATTAAGTTCAAAGTATGAGGCATTACTCTATGTGGTTATTAACATAATTTCTAAGTCTGAAAGCTTTCCAAACTAATTTTAATGAATCATCATCAATTATTCCTGCTCTCTTTCCAATTAATGGTGATTTATTGACCTTAGTTTGGAAAGCTATCAAACTCACAGATTATGTTAATTAATAACAACATATTCTTTTTATCATAGAAACAGTTAAAATCTTCAAGCAATAAAGTTATAACTCATTGACTTTCTATTCTGAAAACTTAGTATAGTACTGTTTAAGAAGTTCCAGCCTGTGAAGTCCAATTTCTCTGCTCCTGGCATTTACACCATAAGATGTCTGTTAAAATTTTCTGCAAAATAAGTTTTCCTATGTAAGAAACCCCGAAATATCAATCCTATCAACAATAGTTTACCCACTTAAGAAGTTTATGTTAGAAACAAATCATAATCTTTTTCCTTAACATAACTTTATCACTTATAAAAAAATAGTGATGTTTTAGTAAAGTAACTCCAGATGTTCATGATATTGTATATCAAACACTTGCACATCCATTGTGGTCATTAAATTAACTAGGGTGTTATTGTTTCAACCACACTCCCTAATTGGTGATGTCCATTAACTATTAACATGTCATATTGACACTAGTCACTTCATCACCTGCTGTAGTCAGTGCATCTTACTACTCTACTATGTTACATTATGCTATGTTCTAGTACTTTGATATTGAAATAAAATTAATTATACAGATAATTTTTTTTTTTTTTACAGTTCCTGCATAAGAAATTTTTTAGAGTGGTCCTTCAAAAACTTCTTAACAGGGTTCCACTGTAGTACTTTTAAGTTGTTGAATTTTCAATCGTTTTTGGATGCCTTAAACAATTTTTAACAAAATTTTATTTCTGTTTCTTTTATAACTAACTATTCAATTTATGTGCTATTTTATTTACTTTTATAAATTCATCAACTACAGTTTTTTCATGTATCATTTCTTAATAAACTAATCTACAATAATTGGTCTATTTTATTTTGTTGCTTAAGTTCAAATTTAAAATAATTTGCTATTCTAAAAAACTTAACCCTAATGGTATCAAGTAATAAAGCTCAATAAAAGTATTCTGCATATAATTCTTATCAATGATTTTCTTTACTAATATCACACCAGAAATTGTGTAATTTTGGGTGAGATCAATGCTAATACTATTAGATTAAATCTTAGATTTTTTGCTTAAATTTCATCTAAAATTCATTCCTTAATTAATTAAACTTAGCTTCTGATATTACACTTTGTTAAAACCACATAAATNGATGAAAAGAGAGTAAAAAATGAAGTAAATAATAATTCAGTTTTTGTATGATTGTTAATGTTAACCATTAATATTTATTTAACATTTAATCCTGTATTATATCAGGATTAAATGTTCATCTATTCTATTAGCAAAACAATGCAAGAGGAAAGAATTTTTTAAGCATATTGGCCCTATTTTTTAAAACTATAAATATATTTACACTTATATTCAGTTTAACACTTCTTGACATTTGAAAAATTTTTAAATATTACCTTTCCATCACCTCCCATTGTGTAGCATGCAGTTTCGTCTGGATTGAACTGTAAACAG